ATAAATGACGTCACGCGATTTTTGACCCCCCCCCCCTTCGTCACACGGCGTCACAAAAAGTCAGACCCTCCCTCAAATATGACGTCACAAAGCTCTGCCCCCCCCAAAAAAAAACATGCTTCAAATCGCTTGAAACTATTGTCATTGTAGTGCGTATTTTAATGTGGTGCTGCACTCTGATGTTGTAGGATGAAACATTTATTAAAAAGTCAATTTAAATAAGTAGAACGTGTTGTCTATATTTATTTAAAGTTGCGCATTTTTATGTGACGTCACATTTCTCAACCACCCCCCCTCGTCACACATCGTCACAAATGTCTGACCCCCCCCCCCAGGTGCGTGACGTCATTTATTGACGGCCCCTTAAGGATATACGTGAGATCCTGATATTTGTCACTTTTGTGTGTATGTGTGTGTGGCCTCTGGCTGCAGAGCTGAGTTCGACTTCTGCCCCTGTTCGCTGCACGCCGAATATCTCACGTGCACACGCACCCAGCCTCACCGCTCGTGCACATCATCATCAGCCTTGTTCAATCCACTGCTGGATGTTAGACGAAGGCCCCCTTCCTACGGTCGCCATCTCTCAGTCCCGACACGCATCAATCTGGCTCATGCACGTAAACTGAACCCGTCTCTTCCTCTCGGTTGTGTTCACTCCTTTGACTGCAATTCCATCGTTAGTCTCGACCACCGGCCGCCACCCCTTCCAGCAGGAGAATGTTGTATTTTTTTGCCCGACCGTCTTTGTCTCACTGGCGCCGATGAAAGATGCTCGTGACCGCACCGCCGAAGCAGGTAGTCGCGAAAGCAGACTCTGGCACAAGATCGAGCGAGTGTGCGGGTAGTGAATCTGCCAGTCACCTTGGTGAGTTAACCTACAGCACCTGGGTCTCCACTGTGACCTCCTGCCAGCAAGCCTTTGCATTAACACGTGGCCCTAAAGTGCACCGAGGCTGGCACAGGCGCCGTGGTGACGCAATCGCTACATAGTGGCAGTTGTTGATCCCTGGGTCAGTGATGCACACCAAAAACAAGTGGCTGTCATTTGAACCTGGCTTGGGCCTCCCCTAGGTCGACTCGGCCTTAAATAAGTACCGAGTGCAGTGCACAAACAACAGCACCGGGGAGACAAAGGCGGTCGGCCACACCACCCGTTCGTGGCTAGTGTCGGCTTTCATAGGCGCTCCGATAACAGCACTTGCCCCACTGGCATACGTAGGCTACCTGGGGGATCTTTGACTTGTGTGTGCGAGATACGCCTATACCGTAAACGTGTTTTGCGAATGCGTGCACACTGTGTACGTGGGGGCGTGTGTTCTCGTAATCGTCGGGCGGTCAAACCGATTTCAGAACAAGACGTACAAGTCAAACTGACCCGAACTTGTGAGGTGCACTTAAGAGCTCTCCTTTTGTGTGCCAGTCATCGCTACCTAATGCAACAATTGCATAGATGTCAGGGGATGCATATGAGCAATACGGAGACGCACACGCTCACGTGATAAATACACAAAGACCTCCTCCCCCATAGCCTTAGCAGACCCCTGGGGCAAGTGCTGTTAGCGAGCACCTATGAAGGCCGGCACGGCACACGAAGAGGTGGGCGGCCAACACCACGCCCGACCGCCTTTGTCTCCCCAGTGGCGATGTTTGTACACACCGTACCAAGTACTCATTTGAGGCTGGGTCGACCTAGGGGAGGCCCAGGGCCGGTTCGGATAATCGTCACTGGTGTTGGCCGTGAGCGGCAATCGAACTCGGGTAGACGGGAGTTCGTAGCGCAGTGCACTAACCGCTACACTAACCAACACCCGCCATTCGCCACTAAGTGACGGTGGCGTCACCACGGCGACTGTACCAGGCAAGGTGCACTTTGAGGCCACGTGACGTATCGAAGGCTCGCTGACAGGAGGTCTCGGGACAGACCCAGGTGCCATCGGTCGGCTGACGGAGATAACTGGTAGATGCACCAGCTGTACCCCCTACTGTGCCAACTTGCTACATTTTAGTCGCCCGGAGCTCCGCTCGTTGTTGTGAGCGTCGCTTTTCTGCCCTCCGTTGTCGCTGGAGGGCGACTGCCAGAGGTGGGACAAAGTCATTGTTATGCAAGTCCAAGTCGAGTCTGAAGTCATCAAATTCATGACTCGAGTCTGACTCGAGTCCAAGTCACATGACTCGAGTCCACACCTCAGAGGTGGGACAAAGTCATTGTTATGCAAGTCCAAGTCGAGTCTGAAGTCATCAAATTCATGACTCGAGTCTGACTCGAGTCCAAGTCACATGACTCGAGTCCACACCTCTGGCGACTGCCTCCAACTGTCCAGTAGCAGCGTCCTTCACGAGCCTCTTCTATAGAGGCCGATATTGACACCGCTGGTACCAGTCGTCGGCAAATCCACTCAGTTCCACATCCTCCCGTACCACTCCAGTCCATCTCTTCTCCAGCTCATGCCGTGCCCGTTTAGCGCTCTCTATGCGACCAAACAGAAGTTGCTTGGGTATGCGGTAGCTGGGCAGCCTTGCTTGCCGGAGGAGCTCACTGATGGGAATGTGTCCAGATCTTTCAATGATGTGTGAGCTCCTCACACAATCCAGCCTGATTAAACCCAGGATGGATCGTAGTCATGCCAGGCTGAATATTTCTAACCGGCGCAGATGATCCATTAGAGGGGCTCCACGTTTCACAAGCGTTGAGAAAGGAGGGCATGACTTCGTGCGGAGCGACAGACCAGGTAGCTTCCACACACCATTGCACAGCCGATAAAACGATAATGCCGCCCGATTACACACACACATACACGTGTACACACACACACGTGTACACACGCATGAGCACACTGGCACTCGTAGGGAATGTGAGCAGCTCGCAAGACGAATGGTTCCAGAGCTGTTTTTTTTATACATTGACCCTTTTGCCCTCGTGAGCGTTTCTGTGTCACGGGGCCACGGAACTGGAGATAGCGTCTTTAACCTTCTTCGTTACCCATTTACCTAAAGCCTAAGCGATGGCGATAACAGAACACAAATCACTGTGGCGTCACCCAGTAAATCACAGTTGTGCTCCCCGCGGAATCTCCCCCGGCTTCTCTTTCTCTCCCCCCGCAAAAAAATTCGCTCCCGGTCGATCAACCCTGCCACCAACCTCACTCCACGCACCTTTGTCTAGCACGGTTGGCTACGTACAGTGGAAAAAACTGAACATGCATCCGAATGATTTATACACCGATTTGCAAGCGACTATCTTGTCCGACAGCGCCGTTTCGTTTGTTGGCAAAAACAAAACAACAAAAATCCTCCAAAACAAAACTCGGCAGCGGTTTCGACCGCGTGGCTCTCATCAGCAGAGTCAAGCTTGTGCAAACAAATGCTGCTGTTTTGGGCCAGCTGTTATGAGCAAGAGAGCTCCATTCTAAACTATGGTGCCTCGGTTTCAACGCAACGAGGCCACACGCAACGCAGACTCAAACGCCCACCTCAGAGAGTTTTTGTTTTGCCTCCGATTACCACGGTTGGCTGACGTACGGTGCGAAAGAAGAGATGGAGTGGAGCATTGTGGGTAGAATAACATGGTGAGCAGAACTCCCGTTCTCTATCTCCACACATAGACACAATACAAACGACGGTTTAGTCCATCAGCCTATTGCTCCTTCCAGACCAATATTATCCAGCAGAAATTCGTTCAAGCGACCAAGCAAGCAGCTTAATGATTGACGGTCTCTGCAGACTGATGTTATTTGACCATACTTCACCACGCTGGTTCAGTGCAGGTTGGAGAAAGGGGGGCACCCAGGACCCCTACGATTGACACTTGCCACCGTGCCTGGGAATCGAACTCAGGAACCCGTTGGTCACGATGACCTTCAATCTTGACCTTGCTATTTTTGTACAGGGTGGTCCAGATGTCTTGTGACACCCCATTTAATTCTCTAAAATTTTATATTTTTGAACGTAACGTTGATTTAAAACAGAAATGAACATGCAAAAAGAAAAAAAAACATGTTTGGGGTAAATTAAATCGGGGTCACAAGACATCTGGACCCCGCTGTACATCCCATTACACGTGGAGCTGCCTCAGTGGTGCAACGGTTGGCACACGGTGACGTCGACTCCATGTCCATCGTCTGGCGCGGCACTTGGGAATGGGAAAAATGACGACTCTCAAATCCACCCCCTCGCCCCCCCCTCTCGCCCCCCACCCCCGTCGCCTCTCCCGCCGCCCCCTCTTCGCCGCCCCCTCCTTGCCATCCCCCTCCTCGCCCCCTCCTCCTCACCCCCCCCCCTTCGCCACCCTCTCCCTCCTCGCCCCCCCCCCTTCGCCACCCCCTCCCCTCCTCGCCACCCCCCCTCCTCGCCACCCCCCCTCCTCGCCCCCCCCCCTTCGCCATCCCCCTCCTCCTCGCCCCCCCCCCTTTGCCACCCCCTCCCCTCCTCGCCACCCCCCCCCCTCTTCGCCACCCCCCCTCCTCGCCCCCCCCCCTTCGCCATCCCCCTCCTCCTCGCCCCCCCCCCCTTTTGCCACCCCCTCCCCTCCTCGCCACCCCCTCCCTTCGCCACCCCCCCTCCTCGCCCCCCCCCCTTCGCCACCCCCCCCTCCTCGCCACCCCCCCCTTCTCGCCACCCCCCCCTCGTCTCCCCTCCCTCGCCCCCCTCCCTCGCCCCCCCGATAAGCCACTTTGTTGAGCTATCAGTTGTGGCCAGGTCACTTCTCAAAAATAAGTGAATTGCTCAGTGGGCTTTACCTGGTGAGATCAAACATTGTCTAGATTTATTTGTGTGTATTTATACTTCGTGATTTGTTTAGCCTTCATATAACTTCGCTATCCTATCGTGTTTTTGGAATGTTTGTTGTAACGTTTGTTGTAACGATGAGCTATGAAGCTTTAATAGTTCCTCGAGTTTAAATAAATATTCTTATTCTGAAAAAATCAGTTTAGTTTTGTGTAGCATAAAACAAGAAGCAAGTGAACAAGAGAACTTAATTGTAAATCGTGTCAGCACCGATGGGCCCGCAATTTAATTTTTAATGGAATATTCCAGTACAATGGCAATGACGTCACACTTTTCGCACGTGGTAATTAGCGTTGCTGTATTGTAATATTGAATACAATATATATTTTTTTTCACTACGTATAAGGGATAAGAAGAAGAAAAACATATCATCGCCTAATGTTGCAAAAGATGGCAAATATCAGCGTCGACAAAGGCGGTAACAAAATAAATAAAACCGGCTCGTGTAATGAGGCCGCAAAGAGTAGCAGTAATGAATTAATAACAATAACGGAATTGCGTTCCTTGGAGATGAATTAAATGCTGGCTTATTATTTACAAATGTCGCCTCTCATGCAAAGTAAGTTATTTTACGTGACCACGCATGCACACGCGTATAAACCCACAGATATTGTACGTGCAGACGTATAAATATGTTCAACAAGACAAAGATCCCCCGTAACCGACTGTAGGGGCAGGTGCTGTTAGCGAGCACCTATGAAGGCCGGCACGGCACACGAAGGGATGAGTGGGCAGCAGCACGCCCGACCGCCTTTGTCTCCCTAATGGCGATGTTTACGCTCCGAACCAGGCACTCAGTTGAGGCTGAGCCGCCCTAGGCGAGGCCCAGAACTGGGTCAGATAATCATCACTGGTGTTGGCCGTGAGCGGGAATCGAATTCGGGTCGCTGGGCTCACAGCGCAGCGCGCTATCCGCCACACTGCCGCTCCTCGCCGACTGCCCACACTTCCGATTAACATGGTTGGCTACGTAGTGCCGTGAAAGAAGTTCAACATACGTGTACATACATGCTCGCCGTAGCACATACAGACGTGCACGTGCAGCTTGAATCTGAAGAAGAGTTGACGGTGAGAGTGGGTGAGACTATGATTGAGTCTCCACTGCAGGCCCTGCCAGTGATGATTGAAGTTCCGCGTGTGGGATAATTTGTCTTTGCTGGAGGGTAGAGTGGCTGTCGGGGTCAAGAGGTTACACCGACACGAGAGTGACGATGATGACGGTGGCAGTGGCGGTGGCGACGGTGGCGACGGTGGTGATGCCGATCACGATGCCGTCACCTCCGTACACCACAGAGCTGGTACATTCATTGTAATAGGGTCATGCAAACACCATCATTCGCGTGCGGCAGTACCCCGCTTTTACGTCGGGGATGCGTTCGCGAAGGGCGCGACGACGAATATCGAAACGGCGTAAATCGAAGCGATCCGCAGGGTTAACGGTGGTCGAGGCCGAGAAGCGACGCAAGTGTGGGGGTTGCGGCGACGGCACACCGGCTATCGGCATTCGCGAATCGACGACGTATTCGCGAAACGACGCAACGGCATCAACTCGAGGAGGTGGAGTCCGCAAGAGTTCCACGGTGGCCACTTGAGGGCAGCGCAGCAAGTAAGGTGACTATCCGGACGCGTCTGTAACAGCGTGTTGTGCTGAGCGGCTATCTCCCTGGCAGTGCATGGGGGTTTCTCCAGGTACTCCGCCGCCTTTGAGGGCACGGTGAGGTCGCTGTTGATTATTATTTATGAATGGTGCGGGAGGATTCCTTCGTTGGCGAGCAATGCTTTCCCCAAGCTGCTCGCCATGGGAATTTGTCCGCGGATTTTGTTCGAGGTACAGTGTGCAAGAGTACTTTTGATTTTGACAAGAAGAAAAAAACCCATCTGCTGTTGGTACCACGGTGGCCGCTGGCAGCGGTCCCACTGATCGAGTGAGCCATTTGTTGAAAACCATGAGGGAGAAAGTAAAAAAAATTCCCCTCACCCCGAGAGACCTCCGGGAGCGGAGGAATTGAAGCCATTTGCAATGATTGTTGTTGTTTTGCTGGGTGGGTGGGTGAGCAGAAGACTCGTCTCGATTCATGTTCATCTGAAGAACGATGCAATAGCACGGGAGGCGAGAATCCCACAACCCTCTCACCTCCGGAAATCCCCGAGCAAAAAACAAATAAACACTCCTCTCTCCCGCTCTGTGTCTCCATCCTGAAGGTGTAAAAGGGCTCTTCTTTTGGCAACGGGAAAAAAAACACTGCACAGCTGCTGCCACCATCATCATCATCGTCCAGGCTGCCACTGTCATGGTGAACGCGGCCTTCTGACCAAAAATAACCCGCACGGGAGACGGAGGATAAATGCTATGAAAAGCCATGACCCCAAAGATTAGCTGAATGTAGTTAGTTATATTTATTGTATTTTTTTTCTTCTGTTAGAAGTCAGCGTCAAGTAAAGTTGATTTGTTTAACCAGATGGGAACTACCACTAAAAAAATACATTTAAGTCGAGTAACGACACAAAATAGGAATGAGAGAAAGAAAAAAACGTCGCACGAGGTAATCGAAAAACAAATATTGCACCAGCAAACATCGATGTTGAATTATGCATTCATAAAGCGCAAGTCGGCTCGGTCAGATGTATTGTTGGACTGATTAATTATAGCACAATCACAGATTCAGTTACAGAGTCATTAAACGGATATAAGGGGTGACTAAATTGAAACAGACGAGGATATATTCTAGATTTGAAGCTTTCGTGACTGCAAGGATTCATATTCTTAGGTTTTTTTCGGTAAAGTCACGTAGGTAAAAATTAAAATTTATAAAAGTAAAATAAAAATAAAAATCACGACGTTTCGGAGGCAACACAAGTTTCCGTCTTCAGGTGGAACCGTCACAGCACGATAGCTGTATCAAGTGAGATAAATTCCAAGAAAACAGTCCTTGTATATATACTGGTTGAGGGTGGGAGGAGCCAAGGTAGGCCCTGAATATTATTTTTGTGAGGTTCGGTGCGGCTGAAGCACGCTGTTAGGAATGAGCCTTTGTTGTGTAAACTAGGTGCGGATGATGTAAAGGTGCGTGTAAATGGGACTGAGCCTTTTGTTATGTAGAGGTGGTGCGGCTGAAATCTTTATTTTACTTTTATTAATTTTAATTCTATTTTTTTACCTACGTGACTTTACCGAAAAAACCTAAAAATACGAGGATATATGTTGAATGGATATGTATGTTGAACGTCTTTCGCACCATACGTAGCCAACCGTGCTAAACGGAGGTGCGGGGTCAGAACAACAATCAGTTCTAAAGAAATGAGTTTTCAATCTAGATATGAACGTGCATAGCTCCAGTGGCTTCCTAACATCGAAAGGAAGAGCGTTCCAGACGGCCGCAGAAGCACATCCGAAAGCGCGTGATGCGGTGGCCGAATTTGTTCGATGGCCAGACAAACGTCGCTGCTGCGAGGATGAGCGGAGTTGGATTGATGGTTTATGTCCCCTGACGAGATCGGCAAGGTATCGTGGTTCATTTGTGGCGAGCCCCTCTGTGTGTACTGAGTGCGACCTTAAGAAAGGTCGCGTAAAAGGTCGCACTCAAGCACTGGTACGGTATGTCGCTGGAAACAAAGTGGTGGAAGTTTGCCAAATTAATTGATGGATTTTTTTGTGTGTGTGCAAGTTAGGTTTGAGATCGTCAAACTCACTTTTGGATTAGAACCCAGTTTATTCACGGACAGCTAAGTGGCAGCACAAATAATCGTGTCGAATCTTCACCACAATGGAGTGTTACTCAGCCGATAAATAAAACATAATTATCAATCAATAATGATGGTTTTGGGGGGGGGTCCATCAATTGGTCGATTAAGAATATATGGAATTAATTAACTACTACAGTAGACATGTTTTCACTTCCTGAGTAATCCTATTACTAGAGATTACTTCCAATTGCTGGATAGCTTTGGGAGAGCCACGCACACAACGTAGGCGCGTCCTTGACTTTGTGTTGACTTTGCGTGTTGATTTTGTGTTGATTTTGTGTTGACTTTGTGTTGATTTTGTGTTGCCTTTGTGTGCTGATTTTGTGTTGAAATTTTATGTAGATTTTATGTTGCTTTTGTGTTGACTCGGTGTGTTGATTTTGTGTTGATTTTGTGTTGCCTTTGTGTGTTGCCGTTGTGTTGACTTTGTGTTGATTTTGTGTTGACTTTGTGTGTTGATTTTGTGGTGACTTTATGTTGACTTTGTGTGCTGATTTTGCGTTGACTTTGTGTGTTGGGTTTGTGTTGATTTTGTGTTGACTTTGTGTTACACTTTGTTTGTTGATTTTGTGTTGACTTTGTGTGTTGATTTTGTGTTGACTTCGTGTTCCACTTTGTGTGTTGATTTTGTGTTGACTTTGTGTGTTGATTTTGTGTTGACTTTGTGTTACACTTTGTGCGTTGACTTTGTGTTGCTTTTGTGTTGACTTTCTCCGGCGGCGCTCGCGGGTGTCCGGTCACCCCGCGATGAGCATATTGAGCCGTGCGGTGAAGTCGGAGCTGCAACGGAGACGTAGGCGTAGTTCTAGAGGAGAGCAAGGCAAGTCTTTGTTAGTTTTAACACGGAGACAGATATTAATGACAACGTTTCTTTTTTTTGGGGGGGGGGGGGGGTTATATTCCCGGACAGCATTTCAGACCGAAAACAGGAAGACACATTCATACTTCTGGCAAATCGCCTGCTGATGCCGCCGACGACGATGATGCTGGTTTGTTGTGGTCACCAACGAAACGTCGCTATCTCCAACGGTAAAATGTTGTGGCCTTTCAACACACACACGTACATCCGGCGACGATGAAGCGTTAACACAGTGACACGTTACATTCACGTGACGGACCTTACTGATTGTCTGTCGGGTGGAGGAGTTGGGGTGCACGACGCATTTACACGTTACTCAATCCTAACCCGATAAACAACAACAGCGACATTACCGTAAACAACATGGGGATGTTGCCGCTCTCTGCGTGTGTGTGCGCGCCCTCTCGGTGTGGCTGGCCTACAAGTTGGCAGCCTACAGGAGCTCTCCTGTCCCTACGATCAATGTCCTCCACTGTTCCGCCGCCTCCTCTCCACCACCACCACCGCCCCCTCGGCTTGTAAATGAATATGGCGATTGATTGTGCGGTGGGCGGTGAATTGGGAACACAAGCGAAGCAGCATCCATTTCGTGGCACTCGCCATCAAAGCGAAAGTCATCTTTGATGATTCGCGCCTTTTGTGCCGACTCGGGGCCCCAGGAAATTGTCCCGTGCATCACAGACTCACGGCCGAATAAATAAAACTGAGATTTTATTTTTGGTGATTTGGGAGGGCGGCGGTGGGAGGTCAAATTCACTTTTCTGTTTGGAGTTTTTATTTATTTCGACCCGGTCAGATAAATTTGGTCATCAATTTTTTAGATTTTTTTTTCTCTCTCCCGAATGTCTGTACGATGGGTAATTGTTTTGTGCTGGCAATCTTTTGGGGTGCCCTCGCGCGTTCCGCTGCAAGAGGACGGACGGACGGATGGACGGACACGTTGATGAAACCGATATTTCTTCTCGCTCTCAACCAACCAGGAGGGAGAAAATGTAACGGGTTTTTTTTTTAACCAAAGCTGCTCACAGAATCCAGGTTTTACCAAAATGGTGAAATTGATCCCCTCAGCTTGGAGAATAATAATAATAAAATGTTTTGTTATACTGTGTGTGAGCGGTGAAGCAGAAACACATTGTATGCGTGTGTGTATATATTTCTATGTGTGCACGAGTGTGCAGCACTTACCCCAAAAGTCCGTTAAGGCTTTAGGGGATATGTGTTTGTTTGTTGGGGGAGCGGTGGTGCAACGGTTAGCGCACTGCGCTACGATCTTGGCGAGACAAGTTCGATCCCCGCTCATGACCAACACCATTATGTATGTTGAACTTCTTTGGCACCGTACGTAGCCAACCGGTCTTGGGCTTTCCCTAGGTCGGCTCAGCCTCAAATAAGTGGCTGGTGCGGTGTTTAAACGTTGCCATTCTGGAGACAAAAGCGTGCGAGTTTGGTGTTGGCCACAAACGCACGGTGTGCCGTGCCGGCCGTTTAATAGGTGCTCGCTAACAGCACTCGCCCCAGCAGTTTGTTAACAAGGCTCGTTCCAGTGTACGACCAATAATATGTGTATATGGGTGGTGCGGTGGACAGCGTGTCTTTTTTTGCACCGTACGTCGCCCACCCAGCTAATCGGAGCTTGCCGTGCTATGCATCAGGCAGCAAGAGTTCGATACCCAGCAACGGCTAACATCAGTGGCAAGTGATGCTAGATTCGTGAATTTTTTTTCGGATGTTTAATGATGTGATGGCGCTGTGGGTGGCATGTTTGTGGCAGACAGGCGCCACGTGTTAACCGAAAATAAATTGACGAGAAGTGGTCCAGCGCCCCCCCCTCTCTCCCTCCGCCTTTGTTGAACCAACACGCATTGTCCAGTGTGGCGATGCATGGCGTAACCTAGAAGGGCTTCTTCGATGATGCAATTCGTTTTACTCGTCGTTTGCCGCATCTGGAGATTTGTATGAATTGTCACGTGTCCACATCGCGCTGGCAGCACGGATGGCTGGTGGGCAAGAGAAACAGACACCCAGACCTCCACCTCGCCACGACATTCCACGCGTCTGTCAAAACGAGGGACCGTTTATCCGTGCAATTGTATATATATGTGTGTGTTTTATACTGTATATATGTAACGCTTATAAATTGCAATGCTAATGTGAACAAAGGATGACTATCAGATGCTGAGTGCCACCGTAATAGTTTCGAGCAGACGGGAATGCAGGAACCAGCTGTAGCGGAGGCTATGTCGCAGTTTTTAATATGCTGCTGAAATGCGCTCGTAAGTAATTGGCAGCGCGTAATTGTTATAATTTTCTAAAGCACACAAAGGTTTACTTTTTTCCCTTTACTTCTTCACTCCCCCCCCCCCCCAAGTCACCCGCCCTCCCGTTCCTTCCTCGAGTCGCCCACCCTCCCACCCACCCGCCCACCCATCCACCCTCCCGTTCACCCACTCACCCGCCCACCCGTTCACCCTCCCGTTCATCCATCCACCCACCCACCCGTTCACCCATCCACCCACCCACCCGTTCGCACTCCCACCCGTTCACCCATCCACCAGTTCACCCACCCCACTGGTAGACCCACCCGTTCACCCATCCACCAGTTCACCCACCCCACCGGTAGACCCCCCGTTCACCCATCCACCAGTTCACCCACCCCACCGGTAGACCCACCCGTTCACCCATCCACCAGTTCACCCACCCCACCGGTAGACCCACCCGTTCACCCATCCACCAGTTCACCCACCCCACTGGTAGACCCACCCGTTCACCCATCCACCAGTTCACCCACCCCACTGGTACCCACCCGTTCACCCATCCACCAGTTCACCCACCCCACTGGTAGACCCCCCGTTCACCCATCCACCAGTTCACCCACCCCACCGGTAGACCCACCCGTTCACCCATCCACCAGTTCACCCACCCCACCGGTAGACCCACCCGTTCACCCATCCACCAGTTCACCCACCCCACCGGTAGACCCACCCGTTCACCCATCCACCAGTTCACCCACCCCACCGGTAGACCCACCCGTTCACCCATCCACCAGTTCACCCACCCCACCGGTAGACCCACCCGTTCACCCATCCACCAGTTCACCCACCCCACCGGTAGACCCACCCGTTCACCCATCCACCAGTTCACCCACCCCACCGGTAGACCCACCCGTTCACCCATCCACCAGTTCACCCACCCCACCGGTAGACCCACCCGTTCACCCATCCACCAGTTCACCCACCCCACCGGTAGACCCACCCGTTCACCCATCCACCAGTTCACCCACCCCACCGGTAGACCCACCCGTTCACCCATCCACCAGTTCACCCACCCCACCGGTAGACCCACCCGTTCACCCATCCACCAGTTCACCCACCCCACCGGTAGACCCACCCGTTCACCCATCCACCAGTTCACCCACCCCACCGGTAGACCCACCCGTTCACCCATCCACCAGTTCACCCACCCCACCGGTAGACCCACCCGTTCACCCATCCACCAGTTCACCCACCCCACCGGTAGACCCACCCGTTCACCCATCCACCAGTTCACCCACCCCACCGGTAGACCCACCCGTTCACCCATCCACCAGTTCACCCACCCCACCGGTAGACCCACCCGTTCACCCATCCACCAGTTCACCCACCCCACCGGTAGACCCACCCGTTCACCCATCCACCAGTTCACCCACCCCACCGGTAGACCCACCCGTTCACCCATCCACCAGTTCACCCACCCCACCGGTAGACCCACCCGTTCACCCATCCACCAGTTCACCCACCCCACCGGTAGACCCACCCGTTCACCCATCCACCAGTTCACCCACCCCACCGGTAGACCCACCCGTTCACCATCACCAGTTCACCACCCCACCGGTTCACCCTCACCCATCACCGGTAGACCCACCCCGTAGCCACCCTCCCATCCACCAGTTCACCCACCCCACCGGTAGACCCACCCGTTCACCCATCCACCAGTTCACCCACCCCACCGGTAGACCCACCCGTTCACCCATCCACCAGTTCACCCACCCCACCGGTAGACCCACCCGTTCACCCATCCACCAGTTCACCCACCCCACCGGTAGACCCACCCGTTCACCCATCCACCAGTTCACCCACCCCACCGGTAGACCCACCCGTTCACCCATCCACCAGTTCACCCACCCCACCGGTAGACCCACCCGTTCACCCATCCACCAGTTCACCCACCCCACCGGTAGACCCACCCGTTCACCCATCCACCAGTTCACCCACCCCACCGGTAGACCCACCCGTTCACCCATCCATTCGCTTACCCGTCTGCTCGCCCGCCGCTGCCTCCTTACCCAATGACAGTCTCGCGTTTTCAACGCTGCAAAATGCCCCAAGCAGAATGCAAACATTAGTTTCTAGTTAGCGCGATCTTCCCCTTTCGCCTGACTGCGCAGATTGTTATTTGTACAGTTGGGGGGAGTCGCGTTCACCAGCGGAGACAAAGACAAAGGTCCTCCGTATAGCCTTAACAAACGGTTGGGGAAAGTGCTGTCAGAGACCACCTATAACGTCCAGCACGGCACACGAGGGGTTGGGTGGCCAGCACCACTCCTGGCTACCTTTGCCTCCCCAGTAGCGATGTTTACACGACGCACCGGGTGCTCATTTGAGGCTGAGTCGACCTTAGGGGAGGCCCAGGACCGAATCAGATAATCGTCACCGGTGTTGGTGGCCGTGAGCGGGAATCGTAACTCGGGTCGCCGGGTTCGTAGCGCAGCGGAGCGCTAACCGCTACACCACCGTTCCCCACAATCGAATACGGTACGGTATACAAAGAAAAATATCTCCCGTATAGCCTGTAAGAGGCTGTTGGGGCAAGTGCTGTTAGCGAGCACCTATGAAGACCAGAACGGTACACGAGGGGGTGGGTGGCCAGCACCACGCCCGACCGCCTTTATCTCCCTAGTGGCAATGTTTACACACCGCACCAGGTACTCATTTGAGGCTGAGTCGACCTAGGCGAGGCCCGGGACCGGCTCAGATAACCGTCACTGGTGTTGGCCGTGAGCGGGAATCGAACCCGTGTCGCCGGGTTCGTAGCGCAACGCGCTAACCGCTACACTACCGCTCTCCCACAGCACCACACACACATACATACACACACGCGCATACCTATGCCCCACCTATGCATTCTCATCCGAGGCTGGCACTGCCCGCTGGCTGGCACGAGACCCCCACCCCGCCTCCATCCTCCGCGGGCTGCGAGCGGGCGGGTGATTGACGTGCGGAGATTAATTTCTCCTCTTAATTCATTACGGCGTCCGCAGGTGGCGCATGAGGAATTCTCGAACCGGCGAGCAAATGGCAATTGCAGCTCCAGGCAACGGCGAGAAAAGAGAGAGAGGGGAGAGAGGGAATGACAAAAAAAACTGAGCTTCCTTTGCTAATGCAGCAACGGCGGTGGCGCATGTTCTAAAAAGATATCCGCTTTGTATTTTGTATTTGGGGGGGGGGGTGGGGGGAGGGCGTTTGAAAGTGGGGGCCAATCCGTGAAGAATTTGTATTCTGACCGGGGGAATCGAAGGGGTTTTTGTTTATTGTTGTTGCAGAGTTGGGATTCGTTTTTGGTGGTGGTGGTGAAGGGGCAGAGGGGAGCGGTAGTGTAAGCGGTTACAGCCACTGCGCTACTAACCCGGCCACCCCAGTTCGATTCCCGCCCGCTCACGGTCAACACCAGGTGACGATTATCTGACCCGGTCCTGTGTCTCCCTTAGGTCCACTCAGCCTCAACTGAGTACCTGATGCGGTGTGTAAATATTGCCACTCGGGAGACAAAGGCGGTTCGGGCGTTGGCTCTGGCCACCTGCCCTCTGGTGTCGTGTTGTAGCGGCTGCTCGCTAGCGGCACTTGCCCCAACAGTCTGTTAAGGCTATACGGGCGTGGGGTGGGTCTTTGTCTTTGGGGGGGGGGTTGGGGGCTATTGAAGAGCCTCTCGCCCTCCTGCCCCCCTCGATTGTGTATGAGACACGTCCCTCTGGGCTCCCCCCACACCCGCGGTAACCCCCCCCCCCCCCCCCCCCCCCCCCACTTTGCGTTTGATGGATCCAGCCAGGGCCTCATGTCTCACTGAATATTTGTCGGGTCGCCGCTTGACAGAGACGAGAGTAGGTTGGCACGTGGCTAGCGGTAGCCACAGGCATAGCGAAGGGCGGTATACTGGATGCGGTGTGCCGGGAGCGGAAACATCCTCAGGGTGGCAATGTGTAAGTACGCGAACGGTATGTGTGTGTGTCTGATTTTTATTTTATTTTAAAGACATTTGGGGCCATTTTCGTATGCGTGTGTACATTTATTGACGCAATGCACTCGCTTCAAATGGCTTCGTGCTGATAATGGTGATGTCACGAGAAGACACGCGGGGAGTTTTTGGTTGTTGTTGTTGTTTGTTGTTGACTCTCTTGGCCTCGGTTCTTCCCAAGATTGGTGATGACATCTTTGCTCGATTCTTCCGATTCATTTGGATTAACCTGAAACTCGTGAACGCATCCCTAACACGAGTACACACCACGTGTCCTCCCTCCCACCCCACCCCCCCATTTCTTCCTTCCACTTTCGCAAGAGCTCAGCCGAGCCAGAAAGTGTGGGAACGACTCCCATCGGGTTTCTTCCGTAATTACCATCGTTTTGACGAGCTCACAAAGCGAGCGGTGGGGTGGGGGGAGTGGGGGAGAGGGGTAGGAGGAGGGGGGGAGGAGGAAATTCTCGGTGGGGGAAACGTGGGGGGCGGCGAAATGTGAAGTGGAGGGAGGCTAGTGTGGGTTTCGGGGGGAGGGGGGGGTGCAGCATGTCACATATTCTTTAATAAAGCAACGTAAAGTAATGACATAATGGTAGAGGGTGTTCGTCGTGTTATTCTGCCCTTCGTGGTGCGGGTGACGCATCCCCCTAAAAATTAATAATAATACTTCTACGGCTGCTCTCAAAGTGTGCGCGCATACGACCATCAGCGTGATTACGGGTGACCCTAAACTCTGTTGTTTTTCGTAATAAAAATACGTGAGATATAATTAATTAGCTATTAATAGAGGGTTTTCTTTTCACTCCCGCCACGCCGCCGTTAAACTAAACTACAGTAAATTAAACAAAAATTAACCAGATAAGGCCCACTGAGCTGTATAGCTCTTTGTCAGAAAGCGAACTTGGCCACCGATGATAGATCAACGACGTGGCGTATCACGTGGAAATGTCGATTCTAAATATGGAGAGAAAAACCGGAGGACCCGGAGAGAGAGAGACACGCAAACTCCAAATATACAGCAGGCGTCAGGGTCGGAATAGAACCCATGCCATCCTGTATACCAGGCGAGGCAGTTAACATCTCGTCCAAACTCGCAACCGCCCCCCCACCCCGCGCTCTTCGATGCAGTTCCACCTCGCTGTGGTTTCTCGTGCACGGCTAACATCAGTGGCGAGTGATATCCGAGTCGGGGCTTGAGCCAACTCCATCAACGCCGTCTTAAATGAATACCCATTACGATGCGTAAAGCACAGCAAGGCGACCGAGCGTGGTGGTATCCGCACGACCTCTGCTAGTCCTCTGAGCCAGCTTCAAGAGGTGCTCGCTAACAGCACTGACACCAAACAGTCTGTCCAGGCTATCTGGAGGGTCTTTGTATGTTTGGCAATGTGTGTGCGCCTTTATGGGGAGCGGTGGCGCAGCGGTTAGCGCGCTGCGCTACGAACCCGGCCAACCCCGAGTTCAATTACCGCACGTGGCGAATATTTGACCCGGTCCTGGGGCTCCCCTAGGTCGACTGAGCCTAAAATGAGTACCTGGTGCGATGTGCAAACATCGCCACTAAGGAGACGAAGGCGGCCAGGCGTGGTGTTGGCCACCCACCTCCTCGTGTGCTGTGACGGCCTTCACAGGTGCAAAACATTATACTTTAAAATCAAATGCCAAGACAATAAAATAATGTTTAAAATAAAAGCCATGATGAAATCGCGTGTGTGTGTGTGTGTGTATACGAGGCCGTATGTTTACGCGTGCCCGGCAAGTCTTCAGTGTCTTTACACACACACGTCAAAACAAACATTAATTTGTCAATAAGCCTGCCTTACAAAGCCCGTTATATGTTTCCCATTTAAGGCCACATAGTGTTGCTGTTATTATTGACATGGAACGTGTTGAGATTATTAATTATTATTATTGTTCCTTGTGCTTGTGCACCACTGTCAAGGCCGCAGCAGAATCACTAAATAATGGATACATACCTGAGCGCGTGTGTGTACGCGTGTGTTCTTTGGTTCTTTCGGTAAAGTCACGTAGGTAGAAAATGTAAATCAAACAATTATTTTTTGTTTGATTTTATTTGTCTACCTACGTGACTTTACCGAAATAACCAAAGAGTATGGATTCATGCAGTTACGAAAGCTTCTCATCAAGATTGTACATGTGTGCTCGCGAACAGCACTTGCCCCAACAGTCTGTTAAAGCTATACGGGGGATCTTTGTCTTTGTGTCTACATGTAGTGGGGAGCGGTAGCGCAGTGGTTAGCGTGCCGCTCGACAAACCCGGCCACCCGAGTTCAATTTCCGATCACGACCACGACTATTGACGGTTACCTTAACCGGTCCTGGGCCTCCCCTAGGTCGACTCAGCCTCAAACGCGTAACATGGTTCAGACGCTGTCTTTCCGGCAGACCTGTTCTTCACCTGAGAACGGCTGCTTGCGTTGTGGCCGAAACGTCGTGAGAATTGTATTTTATGATGTTTTATTTTTATTATTTTATTATTTCCCTTCTACGTGACTTTACCGAAAGAACCAAGAAGATGAATCCCTGCAGTCACGATAGCTTTAAATCGAAAAATGGTGCAGTGTTCAAACATTCAGCACTGGGGAGACAAAGGCGTTCCGTGCGTGGTGCTGATCACAAACCCCCTCGTGTGCCGTGCCGGCCTTCAATGGTACTCGCTTACAGCACTTGTCCCCAACAGTCTGTTTAAAAAAAGGATATACGGGGGGTCTTTGTCTCTGTGTACATTCTACCAGCAACATCGGGCTGCCCCGAGGCATCCGTCTGAATTATTCCACCGAGCATGACCGCAGAGGCGATGCTATTAGATTAAATTCCACGCCCTGACGAGATTTAAATGACACTTCCACCCCCTATAGCTCGCCGTGCAGGCGTGTGAGTGCTACAGAAAGCTCGGTTTAACCAGGTAAGGTTTCTTTTTTTCCTTCCTCTTCTTAACCGTATATATTTATACATTTTTGAAAATACTATTGACTATTTATTAAACTAAACTATTAAAAATAAATCCAAACTGGGGCCCTATACAG